CTTTGGTAGTAATCGGAATTGCAATTAGTTGGGGAAGCAAAGTTAGAAGTAGAAAAACTGCTGCTTTCGTCATCAATGAGCTCATAAGTACTTTGACGCAGAAATGTATAATAATCTGCCTCTGTAGTTGACAAAGCAGCAAACGTTGCGGAACTAATCGATGATGATGATAAATTGCTGGTAAAATAAGAGTCCAAAATTTCTGAGGCTGAATTTTGACCCGGTCAGAACTTCAAATCCTTGATTGCCTGAGGTAAATCGGGGAGCTTAATATCTTTAATTTGTTGTGGAATGTTCATACTTTTGACTGCGCTTACAGCTCGGGCAGGAGCTGCCGAAATACCAGCCTAAAAATTAAATTATTTGAACTTGTTTTGTTTTTATAAATTCGTCTTACTTCTTGCTTGACTAGTTTATTCTGTTCTTCTATTCGTGCTAATATGTCGGTCATATTTGTTTGAAGAACCATTCCGCCCATAACGAGTTCAGCTAAAATATGATGCACTGCGTCGGCATGGAAAATCAAATCTAATTCACAAACATTTTCAAAACATTTGTCCAGAGTTTCTACAAAAACTTGGATTAAATCCAAAATTCCCAATTCACTTTCAGACGAGTCCACACAAAACACAAAATAAAGAGTAGCATAATGGCGATATATCAATTTGTAGTCAGAACCACCAATGAGACTAAAAGATAATTACACATAAGAGAGTCATCTGCATTAATCGTTATTCGTACTCACCTTCCACCTTCCAAAAAATTACAGACGTTATCCTCTCGTTTCGACACAAGCTGAAACGTTTCTTTAATTATTTGTTGCTGCATATCTTCATTCTAGAATTGGTTGTAGAAGTATTAGACTCCAAATTGGTGATACATACATGTGTATACACATAAAAGTTGTTTACTTACAAAGTATTGGTAGAATTTCGAAAGCCTCGGCTTCCCATGGTTGTTGAAAACCAAAATCGCCTTTATCATTTTTTTCTGTACGTCCACAGACCGTAAAGAAACCTGTATTTTTAATAGATTTATTTAAGGTATTA